GATACATAGATAGATACATCGATAGATACATAAATAGATACATAGATAGATACATAGATAGATACATAGATAGATACATAGATAGATACATAGATAGATACATAGATAGATACATAGATACATAGATAGATAGATAGATAGATAGATAGATAGATACATACATACATACATACATATATACATATAATATTGCAAATTACCATTTTCAGAGGCTTCATCACCAGTGAGGAGGATGACACTATTCCTCATGATCCCCTTCCGCTGGTTGATACAGACTTTGGGAGGTTTATCATCCTTGGGAGATACCCCAGTTGTGTTATTTATTATGATGATGGTGATGATGATGACGACAACGACCACGATGATGATGATGATGATGATGATGGTTGAGGTGGGTGACCATAATGATGATGGTTATGGTGGTGGTGATGGTGACCATGATCCTGATGATGATGATGCTGATGATGACGATGATGATGGTGAAGATTATGATGGTGATGATGGTCATGATGATGGTGATGATGATGATGATGATGACGAATGCAATTGTGTTTATTATTATTTGCAGTATTATTGTTCACGTATGCCAACCATAAGCGGGATACATCCCAGTTATATGGAACACCGGGATGCACATTCAGGTGGACAGAAAGAACAGATTCTCAGCTCACTCCCTTTTTGGTCTCACATTTCAAAAAATCATTTATCATCAACAGTTTTCAAAGCGGCTTCTGGGACCATTTGCAGGAATTTTTCCAAAACTCATGACAAAAACCAAGTTCTCTTGCAGAGTTTCCCTGAAAAAACTCCATTCAAAAAATGAGTTTCGCCCCTGGCAGGATGGAACCTTTGTGGATCACTCCCAGACATCCCTGAGCTACACAGACTTCATAGAGAAGGCTGTGGATGGGGTTCGGTGAGCAAAGACTGTGGATAGTGATTTCAGTGTAACCACATAGGCATGAAAAATGGGGCTAGAATACCAAGAGCATGTAGACACACCCACAGTATCCCACAGTGGCACCAGTTGGGGTTACACCCTCCAATGCTTTCATTTCACCCAAGGATAACCTGTTTGGACCAACTTTGAGTTTGATCTACTGGGCATCGCCTGTAGGCATCACCGCAGGTTTTCACGGGCAAAATAGGCCAGGCATTTCCATGGAGGAGTTGTAGATATCGTGTTATTATTATTTTTTTGTTGGGCATCTAAGATTTACGAAAAAAAATCTGGGTGATTCTCTAGGTACCACTTGCCGGGGGGCTTAGTTTTTTTTGGGAACCCCGGATGTCCAAGACTTGGATGAATCCGGCCCCCTTGGTGCTAAGGAGTTGGGTAAACACCGGTGCCACCGGTGATACCCCTGGTTGATACCTTGAAACAATTCACCTCCAACTTACCTACGTGATCCTCAAACGGAAAAACAGGAGTTGGTGCTCTTTGCGAAGTACGATGTGGAACGAGCGGTGTGCCTTGGGCGATTTGGAGAGTTTTTCTAGTCAGTTATGACTCATCCATAGGTTTCCATAGGGATCCCCAAAATGGATGGTTTATAATGGAAAATCCGAAAATCAAATGGATGATTTAGAGGTACCCCATTTTAAACCTCCATATGTTGAAACAACCAGACTAGGCACTGATTGCGTGTCTCTATCTCTGACTTGACGTAAAGCAACGCGCGCAAAAAATATCGTTGGTTGATCAATATGATTGCATATCTAGTGGTTGATAATTATCATACTTACCAACCACTAATGACATTATTTAGTGCATATTAGTGGTTGATAATACTATCTATGATATTATCTATTATATTATCTATGATATTATTTAATAATTATTGCATATGTCAACAACTAATATCATATTATCTATCACTAGTGCATATCTCTGACATTGCTATTTTCGGGAAAATGATGATCAACCGCTGGCTGTTCCATGGGCGACCAAGGCCTTCCATGGTGGATGGATTTAAGCCGGGCCAGCGAAAGGCCGCTTGACTCAGCGAAATCCAACCGAAGGTACTAAGTGCTAGAGCTTGTCCAACTTTTGGTTATTATGACTAGTACAATCTAGATATCTAGTACTAGTACTATATACAGTTTAAAGTCTTATGTATCTTAACATATATATATATATCAATATATGTATCTCTGTATATCCATATCTCTATTACTTGCCCTGCTAAGAAATTGCACAAAAGTTTTGGGATCACCTGGGATTTTATCAGCCTCAGCGTGTCACCAGGGCGTCAGGAGCAACCCAGTTAGCTACGTTGCTGTTTGACTAGGTCAACCAGGGGTTATGGTAGATATATCTAGAGTTCATGGGGTTAGAAACCCACTTGACCATGGCAAATTCAGGAGTCCACTCCCGATTCACTGCTGAGTTTTCCCAGCAAGCCATGATTCATGTTTTTCAGCACCATAAAGGGACCACGGGCTGAGGTGTTGTTTGGAGCTTTCAAAAAGAAACTGAACAGCGAGATCAAAGTGGCTCAGTTCTCAGGAGAGTCTATGGTGATTCCATGATGAATCCATATATCATTAATTGGGATGACTATACCCATATTATATCCCAATAATAATATATAATATCCCATAATATATGGATAATGATGATTGGATGACTTGGAGGAAGTTGCCATTGACTCAATAGAGGACTCAATTTAGAGGACTTGGAATCGGAACAGTGACCGTTAAAAAAGGTGAACATTTTAGCAGATCTTGGCCGTCTAAATGAAGAGCACTGGACAACATTCCAGTTAACCTGGGCATCCAGGTTTGATGTATAGCCATTCACCTATGTTCATCAATTTCAGTGTTGGATCATTTTGCGGCGGCCTTTTGGGTTCTTGCAATTTGGAACCATCAAGCAAGCTGGTGAACGGAGAGTAGGTGGCGGGTGTATATCCTAAGTTACTCCCAACAGCGAATCTGTTGGGTTTCAATCTCTGGGGCCGGGGTCTGGTGACACGTAGCCATGCACGCCCCGAAAAACCGGAACAGTCCTGGAACCTTGCTGGAACCTTTCGCTGTTGGGTTGCAAAGCTGGGCTAATTGAACGATCATCCAGAGGACCCAGTTGATTCCATAGACGTCCCACGAGAACTGACTTGTTGGTTGACACATAGAGGGGCAAGCTCCCGATTTTTTTTGGCCACCATTCCAGCACAATTATGACCCCTGAAGTGTGGTCAATACAGCTTAGTATTCGAATGCATTCTATGGGTAGTTAGCATGTAATGATTATGTTATGTTATGTTAGCATGTAATGATTATGTTAGCATGTAATGAACATCTGGTGCTCCAAATTTCACTGCTAAATCGTAATGTTCCCCATTAAACATGTCAAGTTGGTGACTTCCTGTCTCTCAGTCTCTCCGCAGGATATGTGGCCGAGCAAAGCGCCTATCATCATGGCGAAGCATCCCTGCAGGCGGTATCCATCAATGGAAAGCTGGAAAAACATAGAGGAAATTCTGATTGATGGGAAACTCCTGTTTTTACTCCTTTGGAAAGGAAAGACTCATGGATTCGAAAAAGATCCATTGATTGACATTAGCTGCTGTTTTATTAGCTGTTTCATCAAAGATCCACATTTTTTTCAAAATTATTTACCCAGTCCGAAAAAAACACCAGCTCATCTCTTATCCCTGAGGGTCCGAAGGCAAAGTGCCGTGTAGTATCTGGGAATTCGCCGATCAGTCACCACCATTATTAGTCATGTTTCTGTCAAAGCCCCACATTCATTTGTCGATTTCCTCATTCTTGTTGATTTATTGGGGTCTTATTTGAGTTTTTGCTGGTCAATTTAGAAAGTTTTGTTGGGACAAAAATAACATTTTTACTGGAAAACACATCTCGTGATTTCCCCATTTCTCGTCACGTTTAGTCATTTTTGTTGGGGAACAATCACATTTTTGACTGGAAACTCCGATCAACTTCCCAGTTTCCGGTGCTGCGAAAAAAAGGGCACGATCATCGGCATGGCCCAAGACTTTGTCGGAAGCAACAATGCGCGGAGCCCGAATTTTTTCGTCAGGACAAAGGGGCTAGAACGCTTACCCTCTGGTAAACTAACATAGCTATTGAAAATGGCCTTTTATAGTGGATTTACCCATTAAAAATGGTGATTTTCCATAGCTATGTTAGTTTACCAGAGGGTAGACATTGGGTGGTCATTTTGGGAAGCATGCAGTGCATCCAGGGGTTTCCTGGACTGGGGGTACCCCTTTGTCGCTGGATGGTTTGAGGGATTGCCACTCGCTGACTCCAGGGAGAAATGTAGCATAGCTGGACAGCCAAAATATTGGCATCACAGGTATTTATGCATCCCCATTTGGGTGAATATGATATATACATATATATATACACATGTTTTATCATGTTTTTATATACGTTTAAATTTATATACACATACACATGTTTAATTATTTAGAACATGGCCAGGTGAACCTCTTCGAGCCTCGTGGGCAATTCGGTTCGCGCCTGCAAGGGGGGAAGGCGCCCGTTGTGGGGCCCAATGGGGCCTCGGTGTTGGGGTATATATATATATATATAGGTTGGATGATCAGGAGTTATCCAGATGGTCCTCATTCTGATGAGTTTCCGTCAGGGACCTACGGTTTGTAACTTAGCTTGTCACTGTCTAAATGTTTGTAACTTCTATTTGGGATGATCCTCATGAAACATCAAGTTGAGGTTGCTGCTAGTTCAACCTGGTAGTTATATATATATAATATGTATTACACATTTATATACACATAATAACGACCCCACTGCGACCTCCCTGGAATGATGCTTAGTAAGGGTAACTATGCCAAAACAGCCTCAGTTCAGGTCAGTGAACATCATTTTATTTACCGAATTATATACAAATACAATCACATACACTGGTGCATATACTGTATATACTGTATATACTGTATATATATATATATATCCGTCATATATGCCATGATATCCCCATCCTATCCCCATCAACTGCACAAGTTGCCAGGATCATGCGGCTTCGCGATACATCTTCACGTGCCTCTCGAAGGCTGGACATGGCAAGAGGACCAGAAAAAACCTGAAAAAAACGATGGAAAACTGATGAAAAAAAGCATGACATTTGGGGTTACCCGGTTACCCAAGATGGATGATAGTTAATACGTAGTATTTTCATCCACATGATTTTATAACTAGTTCAGTGGTGTTCTTTTTGAGTGATCCAAGATGCTCACGATTTGCCCCACGACGCCTAACATTTTCTTGGGTCACCGAAAAATGGGGCTTGACTCATACTATGACTTGATCGAGCGAGAATAGGTTTCCCCCACAAAAGCATGAACCATGGGTTTTCCTTAAAAACATCACTAATTTGAATGTTAACTTGGGCTCCCCATTGTAAGAGCGCCCTCTTTTTTTCCCGATCCTCTCAGGTGACGCGCTGCATCTTTCCGGAAGAGGACGATGCAGTACTGGAGTGCGGCCCTCAGGGGTCCCAAAAGTGGGCCCCAAACTGTCAAACTGCGGAGATTTCAATGGGAAAATCCCTATGCCCTATATTATTTTCTTAAAATACTGGGAAAATCCTCTAAGTGATGGTGATAAATGGGAGTTTTCGATTTTTCAAAAACCAGAGTACCATGATCTCTCTGACTTCCGGCTCCAGGCATCTTTTTGAGGAAGGGCATCAGATCGAACCTCGTGGGGGTCCCCCAAGGGGGTCCCCTTGAAAAATCCCAGTGGAGACCTGGAGGGTGGCTTTTTACCATCCTGGAAACACTTAACTTTATTGGGGTAAAAAAATGCAGTGATCAATCATGGATTTTTTTGGGATACACAATTGTTGGACCCCATCTGAAATGTCCAAGTTATCAAAAACACACAGTGTTAGGACATTGGGTCTGAACCATTCTAAGCTATGAACTGGTGTGTATGTGATTGTATGTGTGTGTGTGTATGCACATATACTTACATAAACCAATATATATATATAATTATATATACATACATACACATTATATATACATATTATATATACATATTTTATATACATATTATATATACATATTATATATACATATTTTATATACATATTATATATACATATTATATATACATATTATATATACATATTATATATACATATTATATATACATATTATATATACATATTATATATATTATATACATATTATATATACATATTATATATACATATCATATATATATATATAGATACATATATATATATATACACGCGCAACGCCTGGGTTTTGCCCAGGCGTTGCAGCGTAGAGGTTTCCCATTCCCAAACAAATGCTGATGCAACTTCACAAAATTCCTATGGGAAAAACAACAAAGGTACTAGGGAATATAAAACTCCCACCCCGTTAAACCTTAAATTCCTATGGGAAAAACAACAAGGTACTAAGGAATATTAAACTCCCACCCCCGTTAAACTTTACATTCAGTTGGGAAGATCAACAAAGGTACTAGGGAATATTAAACAGTTACTCCCGTTAAACCTTAAATTCCTATGGGAAAAAACAACAAAGGTACTAGGGAATATAAAAATCACACCCCCGTTAAACTTCACATCAACAAAGGTACTAGGGAACATTGAACTCCCACCCCCGCTAAATTTTACATTCATTGAAGATCTGCAATAAGGGTTTAATTCTCCCACCCCCGTTAAACTTCTACATTCATTGAAAATCTTCAATAAGGGTTTAATTCTCCCAACCCCGTTAAATTTTACATTCATTGAAGATCTTCAATAAGGGTTTAATTCTCCCACCCCCGTTAAACTTTACATTCATTGAAGATCTTCAACAAGGGTTTAATTCTCCCCACCCCGTTAAACTTCTACATTCATTGAAGATCTTCAATAAGGGTTTAATTCTTCTGATGATGATGATGCGTCGCCTGTCGTCATTGCGGGTCCGGGCAAAACCCAGGCATTTGCCGTATATATATATATATACAATAGATATATTAGATATTATATATATTTTTGATATTATATATATATATATCACATATATACATTATATACATATCACATATATATATATACACAATAGATATTATACATTATTGATATATTGTAGATATATACACATACTTACTCCTTTATGTGGACATAATGCCATTCCTCAACCGAGGTTTCTTCTGTCCGATCATCCCAATGGTCCTGGTGAATGGCGCAGATGGTGCGCTCTGATGGTGTCACTAATGGCAATGGGGTTATATACTGTCACGAATAATTAATAATTAGATGCTGGCAATAGAACATATATATATATATAATATATATATATATAGACTAGAGATTAACTGGCAGATCTCTTAACTAGTCTCAGTTGATGTAACTTTTGAAGGATTTTTTTGCCTCCTATATTCACTGCACTTGTCTTAAAAGTACGGGAATGATGAATGATTAACTACTGGAGAATGGTAGTGGAAGGAACTTAATTGACTTTTCTCAGTTGGAGTCTATAGAGCCACCAAAATCCAGTCAGATCAGGATTGAATCTGCACCGTCTTATCCCATGGCAATTTCGGGAAATACCCTCCAGCGAACATGCAAAAAGATATGGATAAACAAGGAAAATAATCTACAAACGGTAGATTTTCCATATTTATGTCAATTGATTTGCTGGGGAGTAACTCCAAGCTTGCACCAAACCCAGTTTGACCCATTTCGACAACCCGAGCTTCCCCCAGTCATTACCCCAGCGGGGTTCCAGCCGTGACTGTGCCTCAATCTTGCTCAAACTTCGAGGTTCCATCAGGTTAGCTCACGACAGCACCAGATTTAGGCAACATGCGGAAGCTTTGCAATGGAAAGCTGGCATAGAGGACAACCGATAAGCCAATTTCCTTCCCTATGGAAATCGATCGAGGGACAGGAGTAGATTTTCAGAAAGGACCACGAAAGGGAGTGGTAATTCCACGCTGGAAAGGTGAACAATTACATTTGCGGATAGGACTCATCATCTACAATTGGTGTGATTTTTCCCAGATACACCATATTACCATAATTTGCCATATATATATATATCTTACTATAATTTGCCATATATATATAATATCACAAACATATCTACAACATTTCCAGATGGGACTTAAGAACACAACCTTGGCCGTTGTCAAAAAAACCAGCGCTATAACCTTGGATCGCTAGGTATTGGCACCGGCTGGTCGTCCAGTATTCCGAACTACAACCCGCGAGAGCCCTCAGAAATTGGGGAAAGCCACACCAGAAGCGCTGTTTTTTTCCTGTGTGTGCGCTAATAGATAAATACTGATAAAAGCATACTGTAAGTAGACTTTAGTTTGCTCTCTCTCTCTCTATTTATATACATACATATATGCACATATATATATATACATATATATATATAGACATATGAATAATATTAAATATACAATTACACACATACATCCACATACTGTATATATATACATATACATACACACACGTATATATATATATATATTATGCACACATGCACCACTATGTTCACATGTACAAACTATGTACACAAGTATCCCCAAGTTTCCTCTTAGCCAGACTTTTGAACACTGCCCCTTCTTTGGGCCCCTTTCTCAGGCGTGACTTGATTTCCAATCTCCGCTTGATGCTCCGTGGGTGCACCGGATGGGCGGCAAAATATGGCTTTGCAAAACATGGCATTGGAACCTATAGAATAATCCTGTTTATTTGTCGCGAATAATCCACACTTGGAAGATTTTTTCCATTTCATTCCTTGCGGAATATCCTGCGACTTTCCGTCTTTTCATGTCTCTCTCTTTCCATATATTATATATATGTACATATGTATACAAATATACATACAGCCTTATAGCATTGAATTGGACAATTGGTGGTATACATTCTGAAATCCAAATTTTTGGTTTGAAAAGACTCCAAGGCAACGGTTATGGGGAATGGTTCATTTTTGATGAAAACAACGGGGCCAGAAGTTGATGATCTTGAAGCTCAGCAGCCCCTTCTCCAATGGGGTATGGGCCAAAATTAGATACCCTCTGGTAAACTAACATAGCTATTGAAAATTACCATTTATAGTGGATAAATCCCCATTAATAGCATGGTGATTTTCCATAGATTTCCATAGCTATGTTAGTCATTACCAGAGGGTACCAGCAAAATAAACAGAATCATTGGGTATCTATCGACCAACATTGATGGTATGTACTTTTGGGGTATGGGCCAATATCTCTGGTACCGGCCTTGAAGATTGATCCATTCCCGACCCTGCCACATGTCAAGTTCGGTTGTGTTGGACCATGAGATCATTGCAGTGTGGATGAGATTCAGTACAATGGCTCACATGATTATAATTCCAATAATGATTCATTGTACTATAAGTAATAGAACTATCATAATTATACTAGATTATCATCATTGTACTTATAGTACAATGATCATAAGTGGACTTAAATCCATGATTCTTCTGAGTAAAATCTGGAAACCTCCGGACATCAGGGAAGCGCCGGTGGCAATGACACCTTGGTACCGTGGCTTCAAGGGAAACGTCCGAGAGCCTAAACATTGGTGGGAGGATTTTTATGCTAAGATTAAAGACCCCCATCGGTTAATGGTAATGGTACATATATATCTATCTATGGTTAATGATCTATCTATTAGATATATATTATCTATATTATATTCACCCAAAGATGTGTAAATCTGCAAACCATGGTTTCCGAAGGGTGTTTTTTTTGTTTTAGGCGCATCATTTTTCCATAGGGTTTTCGGGGTCCATCTTCCAATTCATGAATTTGTACGCCAATCTTCCAAAGGTGCGCAGTGACCTAACTCAAAGTGGTCGATAGGGAAACACCTGGGGATCTACTATTCTTTTTGCTTTCATGGATGACCATCATAAAATGATGGTCCAATACATACATATATATATATGATTATATATGATTATATTTATATAATTGCTTTAATAATGGGGATTACCATCATTACATGATCCCGGTCATAATTAGTCTCCATTAAGTTCCCAATGAGCAGATATGACATCAGGTTTTCCGGGGAGTAGCCAGCTCGTGCTGGAGTTTCAAGACTGCCGATTTATTCCAATTCTTTCGAATCCTTTGGCATACCAGCTAGCACAATTGGAATAAATGACATCATTTTGGTATAATAGTAAGCACAATTAGAATAAATGACATCATAGATAAGCACAATTGGAATGATTGGAGTAAATTTTAATGCGAATCTCTGGTTGACATCACTTTGGCTTTGCTGATGACAGCATGAATAACCATCGTGTTGTCGGCCGTCCGCTGCCGTTTTCGCTCAAGGATTTGTGCCTGAGGCTCCCACATCACACGGTGTGCTTCCGTCACTTTTCCACAGCTTTCTCGAAGCCATGCGTGAGGCAATCTGCATTCACATTGGCCAAGGAGGTGCTTAAGATGTGAATTTAGCTTGGTATTGGGGGACCAGTTTGGGCTCTTCCGGTTGTCAAGGTGTGAACATGAATGACTCTTGATCAGATCTGGAGGGCGAGAGAAGATATTTCATACTTTTCCTGTTTTCCGCACACAAATTTTGTTTGTGATGCACCTTACTTGTGTTTTTCAATTGTAGAAAATTGGTTCATGTTGTATTTCAATCATTGACTCAAGCATATCTTAAAGTGAACATGTGCATCTTGCAAGTTGCAAGTCCTAATATGTTTACATGTCAGACCTGCATGCCAATATCCGTTCAAACCTGAATCCGTTGCAAGCCAGTGGAGTCAACTCCCGTGAGCAGTCTCCTTTGCCTCCAGTGAAAACGCCAATAGTAAAGACAAGAACATAACCAATGCTACTGAGTAGAAAGGCTTCCCAAAATCTACATCTCTGTTTGGGAAAGTCTTTACTGGCAAACAAGAATAAAACGGGACGGCGTGTGGTACTGCGGACCGTTGCGAGGTACACGGAGTCGAGTGTGCGCCTTCATGCGGCGGCTCAGGGAACTTTGCAAGTGACCAAGCACAGCGGGCCTTGGCAGTTATGGCCATGATGTTGCTGTCAGTTACTGCTTACTGTTTTGCTGTTTGCAGTGGCTGTGACGGTGCAGATCTGGATTTCTCATGTCTTTTCCAATTTTTGACGCTCTGGCTTTGGCTTGGCCCAGTTTTGATTTGGTTTCTCTCGAAGTGCTCGGGTCTCTGGCGCAAGAGTGACCTGATTTTTCCTGCCAGACTCATTGCGGGTAGAAGATTTTCTGCACCAAGACGTGGAATTTCACAAATTCACCATATTTTCTGGCATGCAGTTACGGACTGAAAGTGCGGCATCGGGATCGTTCACCTGGAAAGTGGTGCCGCCTCAGAAAGTTCAACGGAGCATTTTTTTCCTTTTTGGGCATGATTTTCGGCTGTTTTGCCTGGCTTGGCAAAAAGCCCGAAGTGACACCACCTGAGTGTTTTTTCGGTGATGAAGGAAATGCTACGAGGACGATTTTGACTGACAAAGGTAGGATTCCTTGGCAAGCTTTCTGCCGTGGGGGTGGCAACGTTGACCAAACTGAAAGTGACCTTCTACAAGGCTTGAAAGGTTTGCTCGCAGCACACAGTTCTCCTAGGCAGTCAAAGGGCAAAGGCAAACACACAGCCTTAGATCCCAGCTCAGAATCACACAAAAGGCAAGGGCAAGAGCAAAGCACCAGATCCCAGCTCAGGATCGCACACTAGCCAGGGCAAAGGGCCCGGTCGCAGCGACCTGCTCGAAGCATTCAAGAGAGCTGTTACAAGAGTAGAAAAGAGTCCTGGAGGCCTGCTTCAACGACTTGGTACCCTTGTCAACCAGACCACGAGTGGCAAGAATCTTCGGCCCACTCGGGCTGACAGAAGGGCCAGAGCAAAGGCCAACAAGTCCGCAGCTTCGGGTAGGGGCACAAAGATCAAGGAAACTCCTGCTGACCTTGCTCTCGCTGCTGACAAAGAGGAGCCGGGCCTTTGGGTTGAGGTGGCTGGCAGCGCAGCAAAGCAATCGTCTCCCACTTGGCACTTGGACTCCGCCAAGGGAACTGTTGCTAGTGCTGCCTTAGCTCGTCAGCAACTCCAAAATGATGTTCCCATCAGTGCTCAGTGGATCCAGGTTCAGGATGCCAAGAAAGCTCAACGCCTGTTGGACCTTGCTCGTGTTTATGACTGCAAAGCCAAAGTTGGGGTGGTGTTTCATGGGCCTACAGACAAGCTTGCTTGCAAACCGATGAAATGTGCCTCTGTCAGCAGCACAGGCCAAAAGGCTGTTGCCACTTGGAATGTCACAGCGCTCACGGCCTCTGGGTCGCCTGAACAGCAGGGCACTCTGAAATCCACTTTCAAAGCTCCTGACCGCCAACTGCGTGGAGTACCAGTTCAATGGTATGAGGAAGATCTGAAAGCTGACATCACAGTAGCCGGATTCACAAATGTGGAAATCATTAGCAAAGGGCACACAAGAAAACAATGGTTGGTGCGACTGCAAAAGGCCGAGCGCATCCGCGACTCGGTCCTTCTGGTTGAAGTTCTTGTCCTCGCTGCACTTAGCGAGAGCCCAAACGGTCCGCAAAATGGATCAGCTTGTCGAAACTGTGGTGCGGCCGGTGAAGCAAACTCGTCAGGTCATTGCTCCTGCTACTGTTGCTCCAGTCGAAAAACCAGCAGCAACAGAAACAGTGGCGCAGGGCAATTCCTCAGCTCAAAGGGAACGTTCCCGAAGCCCAGCTCGCGGCAAGCCGGAGGAAGAATGTGACGGCGAGGCTCATTGCTTTTACAATTGCGTCGCTGGTGGATATGCCCTTCAGTTCGAAGGAAAAGATAGGACTACAGTGCAGCCGCAAGTTTCCTCTCGCGGTCGTGGCCTTCGTGAACAGATCGCCACCCACATTCAGAAGCATGCCAAAGATTATCGTCACTGGAGACCTGCGGAGGATCTCGGCAACAACGCGGTGCAAATTGAAGATGGCGACAGCCTGGGTACCTTTGAAGATTACATCGCTGCTTTGTTTCGGCCAAAACGTTCGGCCGACGAACTGGCTTGGAGAGCAGCTGCTCGTGGCCTTGGAGTTCGACATCGCTGCTATCCACGACCCCAGCAAGTGTGATCAGATCGTTTCTTATGGCAACCCCAACGCTTCGGTTCAAATCACTTTGGCTTTTGAAGGTGGTCACTATAAGCTGGTGGACCCCAACCCAGATGTCAAACTTCCCGAAAAAGGGTCAAACATGGTTGCTGAAGCTGAAGAAGGTTACGGAATGGCCGCTCCCCGCGTGGTGGAGCCAAGAGTCAGGTTTCAAGCCCTGCTCGCAAATCCTGGATACCTAGCAGTGCTGCCAAAACGTGGATTCCTCGGTCTACTCCGGCTCGCACCAAGCAAGCTGCTTCTAAGGCTGGGACTAGGGTTGCCGCCCACTCGGTGCTCAGCGCAGCCTTTGCTAAGTCTCAGCAAGGGACTGCGATTAGCAGAAATTATTCTGCTAGCGCGGTCGCTCTAGATCTCAGCCTAGCTCCAGCAGCCAAAGCCCTTCGGCCGTGCAAGGTCAACAGCGGCCTTTTCACTGGGTGTGCGATGTTTGCCACCAGGAGATTTCAGGCACCTCTGTCAGACACGTTTCAAAGCTTCGTGCAGGGCACGTGAGAGTTCATCCTGGATCGAGTTCCCCGGGATCGGTTTCATAAGCTTCGTCCCTTCAACAGGAACCAAGCTGGGAATGTGCATGGTGCGGCCATGTTTTGCCTGCGCTCAACAAAATTAGCCTTCGTGCCAGTTGCAAGGCTCACTGGAAAAGTTGCAAGGGCAAGCCCAAGGGTCCAACTCTCGGCAAGAACCTTCGCCGATTGTTGGAACAAAAAAGCATCCGAATCAATGGTCGCAACAAAGGTTCGCTTGGTGGAGCTACCAGGTTCGCTTCGGTTTCAGACAGAATCAAGCAGTACAATGCCACCAAGCCTTCAAGCCTTGACACGCACGACCTTTTGGCAGTCTACCATGGCAAGGAACAAAGCAAATACATGGTCACCTGTCGTCGTTGCACTATTTACTGGCTCTCCATCACTGATTTGTTTCAGGAAAAGAAGCATGTCCAGTGCTACGGGCAATTGAAAAGGCAGCAGCTTTTCAACTCTTCTGGTCGCAGAACTACGTGGAAACATGATGAAACATGCCACTTTGTCTCGCAAACGGCAGCTCTCCAAAGTGTGGAAAATCACAAAGCAGGAGCTCAGAGACCTGAACTCTACTGGCAAGAGCAAGCGGCCGGTTCCTCGCAGCACTTTTTGGCAAAAAGGCTTGACTGTAGATGGCGATGATGATGATGCTTGGATCAATACTCTGCTTGAGAACCTGCACGCTAGACCGGCTTGTTGGTCCTTTGTGGTTTCTGGTGACTTCAACGCTCTCCCAAACGAAGTCTCCGACAGCTTGGCGCTTTCAGTGGCTTATGTTCAGGATTCCTCTGGTGCACCTAGCCCTAGCAGGTGGAAAGGCAACCGCTGTATTGACTTCGCAGCTCACACCCCTGACTTGAATCTGGTGCGCTGCCGAT